AGCTCCTTATTGTGATCTTTAGAAAGTACCATACAAGGAATCTAAATTCCCTGCCAATTCTCCAAGTTGATTTGTCTGAGAGTCTCCCTGGCTCCTAATTTGTTTGTATATGCAGCCAACGTTGGGATTTTCCTGTTTGCAGGTGGATGAATATTTCCCTATCCTGGATAATGTCCCACTCTTTCCTTGGCCCTTCATCTGATCAACATTTGCTGTCAGAAGCAACAGAAGTTTCACAAGCCAAGCTTTAGAGTCAGAGACAGGCATGGACCTTGGTTCTTTTAGCCCAGAACCTTAGTTATGTTATTGACTCTCAGAAACTGGCTTCCTATTTGTAAACTGGGTATAATGACATCTACCTTAGAAGATCATGTTTGATACAACAATGCACATGAAACACTTTAAAAAGTGCATGACATATAACGGTTCCAAAAGTGGAAGTTACAGTCATTCACATCATGTCCGTTTTAAGGGGTTTGGTGTCTTGGCAAACTCATGCCATGCATTCTTGGTCCACTGAAACACCCTTAAGTATGTGGCCAATGAACTCACAGTTAAACCCCAAACTGGTTTTACTGAGTGAAAAATATAATCTGAGAGGGAGAGGTGAGTGGTTTGGGCAGTAATTTATTTTTTAGGTTATGTGTAAGAGGAGGAAAGTAGATTTCATTAAAGAGGAGAGAGGAATTTGGAAAACAAGCATGACCAAGGGAGAATTTGATGCAGTTGGGGCATGTGATGAGCAATCTGCATCTTTCTTGCTGCATTAATCTTACCATTTATCTGCCATAATAAATGTAGCATTGTTGGGGTGAGATCTATTTTTGGTATTTATCAGAGGGTGGAGTCATACTTCAAGGTGGGCACAGGTTTAAGAACACAGATGGTATAAAGAAATCCTATTCAGGGCTGGGTTTGCAGCTCAGGGATAGAGTGCTTGCTTAGCATGTGTGAGGCACTGGGTTTGATGCTCGGCACCACATAAAAAATAAATATATGAAGTTTAAAAAATCCTATTCAGAACACATATTCTGAGGATTTTAGGCAGATTATAATTGTAGGTAGTGACAAATCTTGGATACTCACTTTATGGTCTATACTCTTGATCTTCAAATCTCGCTCTAGCATACAAACTGGAAAAATGGGACCTGTTTGCTGGTCCACCTGGTCCTCATGTTGCAGTGAAATAATTTCTAAATGTGAAGGCTTCTGAGATCACCCTGTGACATGGGACAGTGCCCTCTACTGCTCATCAGGGAAACATGCAGTCTAAGTCAAATCAAGGGAGCGCCTACCTCCAGGAGCCAAAGCAAGGTGCTCTATTGTATTGATGGAGACACTGATTGGAAAGCCATCTGCAGGCACCACAGCTACTCTCAGCTGTAGTGATTCTGCAGAAGCAGTCATCCATCCACCCAACAGCACTTTAACTCCCCTATGCTGTTTCTAGGCAGACTGATTCCATGCAACATCTGAATGTTCCCTTCCCAGTTTCCACTGCAAACATGGTAGAGCCTGGTGTTAGTTTAGCTAACACCAGAAAGAATTTTGAAACAGTAATTTTAACCATCACCTTACCTTTAAAACCTTACCTTTAAAAAAAAAAAACTGTTTCTGAGTATATCTAATTAAAAATTTCAAGCTACTTTAAGGAAGTCCCACTATTAGCTACAATGAAATAAAGGCACATAAAATATTAGTCCATTGTCAAAAGTTTACACTGGCAAGGAATAAATCTACCATTATCTCTCTTTTTCTTTTCATAAACCATCAAAAACACCACAGAATCTCTTTCTATAGTAACAATATGGTGAAAAATAATTTGCTGGCTTCTCTGACTTCTGAACAGATGTCTCTGCTTCTTATTCTCACCCTCAGCTACTGGATTCTGGATCTGACCCCAGAATGCCGTCAGCATTTACCTTTACTGTAAATCACAGAAGGGGCAATTCTTTAGATTCAAGTTGGCATCAGGTATTTGAGTCCTTTACAACAAGTCCGGAACTGGTTTTTCAGCATCATTCCTCTTAGCGACAGCAGAAAAAATATAGTGATGATGAAATATTCATGAAAGGAAAAAATTTTTAAAGATGTTTTCTTAAAATAAATGATTCTAAAACTACAATGTGTGAAAGCACTTTTTCTTTTATGATTCCAAGTTTTAAATCCATGAGTTTACAGGGTGTTGTTTTTTTTTTGCTGTATCACATGGTGGGATGCTGGAAAGTGGGAGTTTGCCACGATTTTTTTCCTTCTGCCAAGAGTGAAGTTCAATTTAATGCAGCTTTGGCCACTCAGTGGGAAGAGAGTACCAGTTTTCATGGAGTCCTAGAATTCAGCTGCCACTCACTGCAGGAAGACATAAGTGGTGTACAGAACACAAACCTTCATTGGAAACCCTCAAGTCCTTTACATGGAGTTGGATATTCCCACTGAGAGGATGGACAAGTAACTCAGAGTTATTATTAGTGTTGTCAGCATAGGAGAGTTTGTGTATCACTGTAATTATTTCAGGACAAGAGTATTTGGTTTCCTCGGAACCCTGGAGATCTAAAGAATTTGACAGTTCCACTCAGTATAACAGATAAAGTTGATCAATTTTTTGATAACTTCTGGCTGGTTGCTTCCATTTTAAACATGGAAAATAGAAGATGGTTTTGTTCTTCATTAAAGAATGGCTTTGTTGACACGTGGCCAGCTTATCGAGCACGTGACCTGTCATTTCCCACTCAGTCTAGGATAACCAATGAATCTGATGTCCCCTCCTTTTGGACATTATCACAGGGAATTACTCCCTCCCCCATTTTCCTATTATGGGACTCATCATGAATGCATGAGATATACCTATGTCTCCTTTCTTACCTTCTCAAGGGCAGATAAATAGGTCTTCCTGTCTTATTTCTCCAACATTACATAGTAGTAAGGATTTAACAAAGGTTCTTTCTCCCCCTTTCCATTCTCTCCTCCAATCATAGTCAACATCAGCTCCTCATTCTGAGCAATAATTATTGTGAAATTTAGATGTAGAGATGTTGCCTGCATAGGCCAGTTGATAACAGCTGAGGAAACCCACGTTTGACCATAGAAATCAATGGCAGCTCTAAAGCTGCCTTTTACTACACTAAATTTCAGAAGAGTGGGAAGTGCCTGGAAGAACTGTTGTGCACCCTGGAGCCTTCCATGGGGGGCTCATTAGCCCTTTGTTTTTTTGAAGGCTGTCTTTAAGGAGGAAAGACTCCTGACCTTCAGGGTGGGGTTATCTCCAGAAGGCAGCCTGACTCCCACACTGAAAGTCTTCCTAGGGAGCGGCAAGCAGGAACTGGAATCCATCTTGATTCCAGAAACTTGCCCCTGGAGCTCAGGGCTGATTGCATGGAAGGGGAGATGAACCTGGAGCCTGGCAGTGGCTCCTGAGCATGGTGTACTCTTGGCTGTGCTCAACACCGCAGGGCGCCATGCACCTGCCCACCTAACTCTACAAGACACACAGGGTGAGCAGGATATAGAAATGCATCTAAGTTTTTGTACAACAGTTCTGATTTCTTTTGTCCTGGTGTCTTTCTATTATCAAGTGTGTCTCTATTTGTATGATAAATTATTTGAATGCCTTGTACAGGTTCACTTTTCAACAGTGACACCGTGTGGCTTCAACAAGCAATAGCMGTACACTGAGGCATCTTAAGTTCCTTCAGGGCCTATGTGGAAGCCAAAATGACCCCCGCTTCCTGCCTATGGACCTCTGAGCTGTCCTGACAATTTACAGGCCGGGGGGGGGGGAGAATTTCAAGAGGGAGTTTGAATACGTCCTCTTAATAAGACATGGGTACTTCAGCGATTTTTATTGGAAAAATAGAAAGTGTAGACAAATATGTTACTCTGAATTTGTGAAGCAGTTTGAACAGTCATATACTATTTATTTTAGAATCCTTGTTTACTATAGCTCTAGAGACCTGATTAATTACCATCATCTTTGAGCTTTTTGCAGTAGTTTTTCAGTAGCTTATTCTATGACCTTGAGAAGTTGTAACTTTTGCTGGTAGAAAGACATATAAAGTGAGCTACAGCTTTAAGAGTTCATTTAATCACTAGACTTTAATGACTTCAGCATTCCTTTCCCTTTCTCTGGGAACAGAGCCTCTTTGGCTGTGGGAAACACATTTCATATAATTCAGGTGGGGCTAAGCCTTATCTCTTTCCTCCCCCTTTACCTCTCCCTTTCCCTTAACAAGGAGTTGGACACTGATTCATCCTTAATCATTCAGAACTCCCATCCTCTTGGCCACATTTATTGTGGAACAGGGATAGGCAATTGACTCCAGATGGGGCCAGGGTGTGTTCTTTCTGGATTTTACTGCTGGAGCTACTGGAAAAAAAAGACTATTTTATTCTGCTAAGATTCTAATCAGGTAGTATGCAATTTAGGCTATTCTTGCCACTAAAACGAGGCTTCCTATCCAGAGAGAACAAGATGAAGCCCTGATGACATTGTTTTGAGGCTTCTGTATCCAGCCTTGCTGGATAAATTTTTGTTTTTGTTGATATATATATATATATATGTGTGTGTGTGTGTGTGTGTGTGTGTGTGTGTGTGTGTAAACTGGCTTAAGCTAAAATCCCTTATAACCTGAGAGTTCCAGAATAAGCAGTGAACAATCTTTTGTGCTTCCGGGACTTAATCTCCAGATTTTTGAGATTCACTGGAATTAACTGATCAACTCTAACTTTGCTTTAGCATCTGCAGAATTCCAAAAGATGGCCAGGTTTGTTTACTATCAAGAACTATTCAGCTCATCCATATAGCCACAGAAATCTGTTCAGAGAGCATTTTACTGGGCAAGGTTAATCTTAGGAAAATGATACTGAGAGAGAAGGAAGTTGGTTGGATAGGCAAACCTCAAAGGAAAAACCTGAGGAAAACTTCTTCCCTGCACACGTTCCGCCACCTCCCTTCTGTAGGCGCATTCCACTTGCCCTCCATTGTCCAAGCATGCCTCTTGGGATCAGTGAGGTAACATGTCCTCTGTCTCAAGCGTGAGAGATGGAAAGAGGAAGCATCTCAACTTCCACAAGACACCCCTGTTCAGTAGTTTGGGCAGTAGGTTGACAAGGAGATCTGGATTTATAAAACTTAAATGAAAGAGCACGTATCCCAGCAGTCTGATGAAAAACAGGGTGGTGAAAAAGAGATAACGAAAAACCCTGAAAAGAGAAAGCCAAGGAACTGTTAACCAGGGGCTAGAAGACTTGGAACAGATTAGAAGTCCTACCTGAGTGCTTGTCTGGCTGCTTCTTGATATCCCCATGTCTCTCATCAATTGTCAGCTTCTTTCCTGGCAACCCTGCCTAGACACCTGCCCACGGGTGGTGGTTGTTATTCACTGTGTTTTATTTTCTTGGTAGCATTTATCACTATCTAAAATAATCTTGGTCCCTTATTTGTAGTATTGTTTTCCTTGTTTTGGCAAATTGTTTTCCAAAATAGTTGCATCAAATTATGCTTCATCAGCAAGGTATGTATTTCTGGGAGCTGCATGCTCTTCAACACTTACTATTATCAGATTTTTAAAATTTTGCCCATCACATGGGTGTAAAGCAATATCTTATTTGATCTCAATTTGCATTTCCTTGATGATGAGCGATGATGCTGGACATCTCTTCATAGGTTTATAGTTCTTGTGTGTTTCCTCAGCTCATTTATCTACTAGATAGTTGGGGCTTTTCTTATTGATTTGTAGGAGTTCTTTATATGTTCTCCTTCAATCCATTTTCATTGTGTGTAATGCTTTATGTTACCCCAACTTTATAACTATAACTTGCTCCAAGGTATTAAAGAACCCAAAAATTTTTCCTTTAATAGGGTTTGTCAATCTTTAACTAGAATCAATGCTTTCTCTGTCTTGTTCACAAAATAATTTCCTATCCCAAGGCTGGAAAGATATTTATATTTTCTATTAAAAGTCTGGGTAGTTTAAAAAATATAGTTTTTAAACTCTTTCTACACCTTCTTTATTGCTCTTCCCTTCAAGAGATACCTCTCCATTGGAAAGTGGACAGGACTTAATGACCTAATCCCCCCCCCCCCAAAAAAAAAAAAAAAGCACCAGATTCAGAGAGAATGAGTGTGTGGTTTTCTGGCCTACACAGCGGAGCTTCCTCCTTACTCTTCAGAGGAAGCCAGCTGTGAGGATCCTCAAGCAGCCCCCTGGAGAGGTCCATGTGGGGGAGGAAGAGAGGCCTCCTGC